GTCAATACACAGTTAATATAAAACCGAACAGAACACAAACGAAAAACTCCATTCATCAAGTGTCTCACACCAAAAATTTAGGGATAATCTTCAACTTGTCCCCTTTTCCTCTTTTATAACCAAATGGATGGCTATGCTGTGTTGATTTCCCACCTTTCCCCAGCCCTTAGTTGGGACTCTTGTGTTCTTTCTCATGGAGACCACAATTTCTCCTGCCCCATTGGTCCAATTCAGTCCCACACCTTCCCAAATCTGTGCTCTGTACTGCAGCCAGATGATCTTCCCAAGACACAAATCTGATAATTTCATGACTCTGCTTAAATCTACCCACTGCTTCTCGGTGCTTCCAGTATTACATGTACCTTACAATGGCATTGAAAGCTGATAATGATTTCCCCAAATCTACCTTTCAATTCAATTTCTCAAACTAGTTTTGCATTTCCCAGACACCCATAGTGTTTTGGATTCTGTACTTCTATTCCTGCTGCCTCTGTTGCCTGAAATGTCCTCAATTCTACGTCTCTCCTTGACACTTAGGCAAACACCTATTCGTTGTCAAAGCACAAATATTACCTCTACTGTGAAGTTATTCCTGACAGTGATCCCCCTGCTGTATTGTTGATCACTGCCTCTTTTTTTCTCTTACTTCTCTGTGACAGATGATTTTCTATCACGGCAAAGATGAATAATATGTGGTTCCTGGTCTCAAAAAGCTTACAAACATCATTCAACCAGAAATCTTATTATGTAACGACAAATAGGAAAAGGAATTATGAAGCACAAAATCATGAGTTGTAAATAACTGCAACATTGAGCTCAGTGGTCCCTTCTCTAAAGGCTTCTATGCTGTATTCTACTGCAGTGTGTGTGTGTGTGTGTGTGTGTGTGTGTGTGTTCCTGTTGTTATTATATAAGCATAGCTACAAAACTCATTTCACAAAAACTCTGATATAGACACAATTATTATGCTGTTCATAAATGAGAAAATTAAAGCATGAAGGGTCTAAGTAATTTGCCCATATGACTCCACTAAAAATACCAGATTCAAGACTCCTCCCCAGCCTGTTTTGTTTCACTTTTACCTACATATCTAGGGTGCTGCCCTTCTAGAATAGCATCAGTGGAGGTGGTAGAGGTATTCGTATTAAAAATATAATCCAGAATTCTCTCCTTAAGTCTAGAATGTCTACTTTAAAATTTAATTTCATGTCACTATACTTACAGGGTAAAGATCCCAAATTGCCAACTTCTTTGGAGCTTTTCTGCACTCTCCATCCCTGAGGGACTTGACATCCAGATTGTAACTGGAGACCAGAAGCCCCAATAAAGAGAGCTCTCACCTCTTTCTTATTTTTCTTGCTTACATCTGGCATTTTCTCTGAGAAATATGCCATTCTCCTTCAACATCAAATCTCATCTTGAATCTGATGAATTCAGCCATTAGCCCAATTTTAGAGACACAAATTTCTAATATTAAAAAGTAACAATTGGGGCTAGGGTTGTGGCTCACTGGCGGCGTACTTGCCTGACACATGTGAAGCACTAGGTTCGATGCTCAGCACCACATAAAAAATAAAATAAAATAAAGTTCTAAAAAGTAAAAAGCAACAATTAAAAAATACAATTCAAAATGAGGAATTTTTATTTTCCATCCCAATACTGACCAGCTGTCTTGCACTATGGACAGCAAAAAGAAAATAAATATTCAGCTTGAGGAGTCTGGGTCAAGGACAATCTCCTAGTAGTCAGTGGTTTTGAGATGTCAGATGATGTTTCCCAGGGAAGTCATGGAATCTCCTTCCATGGATATCCTTAGCTAAGATATTTTAAGACATTTTGCTTCATCTTGGATTGAGTATTCATTGATCTGAACAGCTGCAGGGTGTCAGATGGCATGCAATTTGTGAAGACCATTAATTGGGACACTAATTGTAGTAATTGGACAAAAGTAGAAAAAGTTTGCTCCATGTTTCCAAAAGAGAAGAGTACTTGTTAAATTAATTATACTTATGATTGTGGGGAAAATGCTCAAATTACCTAATAGAACTCTTTTCAAATATCTTATAAAAATATAATTGCCAATGATTGTTTTCCTAGGTATTACCCAACTGATTTAGGAACATGTCCACAGAAAAACCCTGCACACAAATCCTTTAAAGCAGATTACTCGTAATCATCAAAAATTGGAAGAAAGCAAAGTATTCAGTTTGTACATTAAAATACTATTCAGAGGTTAAAAAATACAGGAATGAGCTATCAAATCACATACACAAGAATGAAGGCTAAATGAAAGAAATCAGTCTGAAAATGGTACTTATTATATAGTGCCATTTCTATGACATTCTGGAAAAGTTGAAACCATAGAGATGGTAAACAGATCAGTGGTTGTTAGGCATTTGAAGAGGTGAGAGGGTTTAGTACATGAAGCATAATGGACTTTTTTTTTTTTCAGAGTGGAAAAAACATTCCATAAGTATATGGAATGAAGTATACATGACAATATGTCATTTACATATGAATAATGTTATGTACATATACACACAACACGATATATGCATTTGTCAAAACTCCTAGAATTTTACAGCACAAAGAGAACTTTAATAGATGAAGATTTTTAAAGAAATCATAGGAGCTCAAAGAATCCCAGGATAGAATGCAGACTAATATAAAGCAAAACAGTTTATATTACAAACGTATAAAATAACCTCATTGAAAAAGGTGGGATTGCTGACCTGAATAAATATGGAAATGAGTGGAGTCTGTTAAGACAAAAGGCAAAAAAAGTATACATAAGTATTGGACTCTAGCTGTTAAATCTGTTTCCCATAGGCATACCTGGTATCAATTCTGAACCCACTATACGTGTACATGGAGAGTTAACAGTTCTGAACTCACTATACATGTAAACAGGAATTGAACAATTAATTAAATAGATGACAGACAATGAGAGCCGAGTTTCTCACACTGGAGTGCAAAGTTACAGATGAGCAGAGGGAGGAGACGAGCATGATCCATGTGGTGCTGGATTAAAGCTGGAGACATCAGCATGAACTCTTGTTTAGCTGACAAAGAAACAGATGGATACATATATAAATTATTTATAGATACCTGCATTTACTCAGGTTAATTTACATACATATATCTCCTTGCTCTGCAACTGAAAAGGCCTAGAAGCAACAATATTCAAAATGTCCAACTCTTGATTTCTAATGTCATTTTCCATTAAAAGGCCCATGGCTCCTTGGGAAAGTGATGATTCTAGGATTAGATCAGGGGAACATACTAGATGATCCTGGAGCATCTTGTAGTGCCAGAAACTAAGGAAGTGTTCATGGAAAACAAAACACAAAAAAACTTCAAGGGTATGTCAAAAAGGCAGAGGTGTCAACTAAAAGAAATTCCAATGATCAAAACAGGAAAAACAACAAAATACTATTGGATCACAACCCAAATGTAAAACATCCATAACTACATTCTAATATGAATGGCTGAATACACAAACAAATGGGGCAGAACAGAAGATCTCCCATGCAGAAGAACTGCAAATAATTTATGAAGATAGTTTACTATTAAAGAGATGAAGCACAACTTCTCACTCCTACAATTTGAGCTGCACATAGTGACATCCTTCCAAAGGAAAAGAATAACTTCACAGTTGAAAAATCTGGCAAACACTACCTTAGCAAGGTGATAAAGATTAGCATCAATAGTGAAAAATCATATGTACTCTTGATGTGATGTGTTAAGGAGGGTACTTTACCTCTTTATCCCCCAAGTCCTATAACTCCAATCAATACATAAGAAAAAACATCAGGCAAACTCCAACTGTGGGATATTCAACAAAATGTCTTATGGAGAATGAAGGGAAGGGAGGGAGGATGAGAAAAGGAAAGACAGTGGATATAACTTTCCTATGTACATATACCACAGTGAATCTCACAATCGGGTACACCCATAAGAAATTAATTTTAAAAAATAACTATGGGTAAATGGCAGAAAGATCAATCAAGGGAAAGGAGCAGAGGGTGGGGAGTAGAAAGGAAAAGGAGAGGTGCTGGATTAAGAATTAGAACAAGATATTTTCCATGCTTGTACAAGTATGTCAAAATGGATTCTACTATCATGTATTATATAAAAAAAATAGTGCTTTGTTAGTATGCCTCAAAACTATCAAGGTTACAAAAGCAAACCAACTCTGTGAAACTGTCACTGCCTGGAAGAGTCTGAGGAGACACGGTGACTAAATGTGATGTGGTACTCAGAATTCTGATACACAAACAGACAATAAGTCAAAAATTAAGAAATATGAAAAAAAAATTGTGCTTTAGTTACTATTTTTTAAAAAATGCATTAACATAAATTAAAAGGATATGTTATTTATAAATAAATCATTGGATACGTATTTACCGAGCCTGTAGTGAAAGTGGCACTGTAGTAGAAGTGGGGACATAAAAAGAAAAAGTGTCCTGTGCTCAAAAGAAAAATATTCGTGAAAAATACATAATTATACAAAGAACAGAAGACTGTATATTCTGGAGTCAGTAAGAAAAGCTAAGAGTGGGAGGAATCTATCAAATAAAACAAAAATCAATGAACGAAGGGAAAACTCCCGCCTAACACTGCCTGGAGCCCTCCTTGCTAACTCCCAGCTGACACCTCCCGGCTTTGGTCCACCCTTGTTGTCAGCCCAGGCTCAGCCAATCGAAGGTCGGCTCTGGTAGGCCTACGTGACACGCGTGCGCATCATCGGTTCGACGATCCTTTGCATCGATGCACTTGGAAGCAACTTCGTTGGCCTGGTCGTGACCAAAGTAGCTGCTACCCTCATTGCCTTCGCCGCAGCCATTTTGACGGTGCAAAGAGTCAGAATCTGGGACCGCTGGAGGCGGGTGGTGATTGGTACGGATGGTTTCCGCCCGCCTTAGCCCCTCCAAACTCGCCAATCTTGGGCCCAGACTTCTCGGTATTGCCCTGATTACGGAGATCCCCTGTCGTCCTATCACCGCCCCTTCCTCTTCCGCGCAGCCCGAGCCTCCTTTCGGAGCTGTTGCCAAACAGCCCTTATCCGTGTTAAAACATCTGCGTGGACCCCGGCGCTCTGAAGGCTGGCCGTCCCACCTCCCCGGGTCGGGTGGGTTTTCCGCCGGCACACGTGTGCCCGGGGACACTCGGAGCCGCGACCTCCTGGGGTCGGCGGGGGGAGTCTGGCCTCGGGGGTGAGGGGCAACTCGGAGGTCATCCTGCCGAGGGGGAGGGACTCAGCACGCAATAGTGGACGTTCCGGAGCGGTCCCTCAGAGTTCTGTCTGTCGTTAGCCTATTTTGTTTTGTCCTTTCCCAGGAATACTTTGCGAAGGAGAAGATTTTGTGTCTTTCTTCTCCACTGGAAATGGCCAATGTGAGTAGTCTTAAAAGTCAGTTGAATTTGTTAGGAATCAGACGGATTTCATTATGAGGGCTTTGACGTCATGATGTTAATGTATCAAAAATGTCAGGAGAAGCAAGGGGCTGTGAAATTATGTTGTGATCCTTTTAAGGTAGTTTGAACACAAATATTCTTTTAATATGCATGTACTTATCTCTCCAATTTTATTTTTCTAGACAGAAAATTTTAAAACCCAATATTTTAAAGACATTATTTCAGTAAGTATTTAGAATTTATATAAAGCCCCTTTTTATTTCTGGTTAGCAAAACTGAAGGATTTGTAGCCGTTGCAATATAGGAAGTGGCCTTCCAGATTCTACAAAATGAAATCAAAAGGTATTCATTCACATCAGCATTGACTCTTAAGTACCCTGTGATTAATTATACACATCCAAGGATGAGGGTGTATTTCAGTGAGGGAGTGCTTGCCTAGTCTGTGAAAAAAGAAAAAGAAAAAAAGTTATACACATCCTACTTTACCTTAGAGAATTCATATAATATGGACATAAGACATATGAAAACAGCTGCAATAAAAGTAGTACATAATCTTTTTTTAAAACTTTGAAAAGGTACAATGCACATTCAGAGTTTTGTGCAGAAGGAAAAGTAGGGTTTGGAGACTACTGTGAAAAGCATTTGAGATTTGAAAACTGAATAAAATCTGATAATTAAGATATGGGTGGGAAGAACAGAAGTTGTTCAAAGAACACTACTCATTGCTCCTTTCAAAACTTAAATCATTTCCACCTGCTGATCCACTAGAAGGTAAGGTTGAATTCTGAGGTTGGGACCAAATAATAGGGAACCCTGAATGAAGCCATATTCCGTAAATTGTGGTGACCTAATCAGACCTGAATGTTAGAAAGATGGATGGGCAACAGCAGAGATATTATTCTTGCAATTAGTAAGTGCAAATGTGTGGCTACACAGTCAAATCATAAGAGTAGTCTAACAATTTGGGCTTAATTTTAACATGAATTTTTGCCTACCCATAATCTGTACAGAACGGAACGTTGTAAAAGGTGTATATGGTACTTTGAAAAGAGGGAAATTAATGTAAGTATAATATTAATATCTGACCTTTATTTTGGCTTACATGAATATAAATTAGTTCAGTAGGGCAAATAGTTTAGGTTATTTTTTAGAATGAAATTTATACTAAAAAATTTTAGTATTTAAATTGTTTAAAATTTTTGTATTAATTTATATGCATTGTAAACTCTGAATGGATGTTAGTAATGAAATATGCATGTCTTTGACAGTTTAGTTAACATTCCAATTGAGAGTTATATCAATGCTTCAGAGTCTAGCAAACTGATATTATAACTCTTTTTAAAATATACCTTTTGTGATGTTATGCTTTTTATCTAAAAAATTACAGATTTTATTAAAATTTCATATATGGTAGGATACTTGTTGAAGAAATACATACCTGCTTTTCATAAAAATACAGCAGTCCTGAATTCACGTAGCCCAATGGCATTAGTTAGCAACAAATTGCTATAGCTACCAGAAGGCTGCTTCTTTATATCAGAAAGGCATATTTCAAGTTTGTCTAGTTTCTGAAGCATGGACATTTTGACTCTTAATATGTATGCTAACTGATTTCCATTAAACTAAGAATTTTTAGTGATGGGTTTTTTACTATTAAAGGGCCAAATCATATATATTTTAAGTTTTGTGGGCCGTATACTCTTGGTTACAGCTACTTCACTCTGCCATTATGGTGCAAAAGCAGTTAGACACAATGAATAAGTGAATGGGTATGTATGTATTAAAATAAAACTTTGTTTACCAAAGCAATAGGCTGTACTTGTGAATAATTTGCCAACTCTTGCATTAATTCATTGTGACTCAAATATTTTTGCTAAAAGTGTATGCATAGAAGATATTTATATATTCACCCATTATATCTGATTTCAATGTCTAGGAAATGAATATAAGATCAGAAAATGTACCGCAAAGATTTATGCTAAAATGAAGGAAATTGGACATTGCCATCCAATCAAAAGAGACTGGCTTGGGCAATAATTACCACTATTTATTTATTTATTTACTTACTTACTTACTTACTTATTTATATATTTTGGTACCTAGGTTTGAACCCAGGGGCACTTAACCAATGAGCACCTCCTCAGCCCTTTTTCATTTTTTATTTTGAGATGGGGCCTTGCTAAGTTGCTAGCTTTGAACTTGCAGTCCTTCTGCCTCAGCCTCCCAAGCCGTTGGGATTACAGGTGTGTGCTGCTGTGCCTGACAATTACCACAATTTATAAAATAAGAATACTATTAGAAAGGAAACAGATTTTGGTCCAAGGAGAGGTTTGGAAATTTCTGTATCTTAAGGATATAAGAATCTTACTTTTGCTACCTTTGTAGTGTTGTCTTTAAATGAAGTATCTTTTATGAGTTTCCTTTCTTTCATGACACAATTGAATTCTGGCCTTTATTGGAAAAGACATATACTTTTCTTTGAATTATTACTTGTTTTTTTGTTTTGTTTTTTTTTGTCTTAATATTTGTATTGTCAACCTAAAATGAATGGGATATACAAAGGCTTTCCAAAGAAAAATAGTTTATTTTATTTGGGAGTAAGAAAGTGATTGAAATCCAGAACACACATACCTTGACAGACAGTGGGAATACACAGAAAGACAAGGGTTTTTAAAAGTAAAATGAGGAAGGTTCCATAGTTATTTTCAAATAATTATCCTTGGTCACAAGGATCAGTAACAGAGGTACTAAGTCCAAGTTTGAATGGGTGGGCAGTTGTTGAGTAGACAATATTATAAAGTTTTTTATATACAAGCTATGGTAGCCTTGTGTCGATTGTGGTTTGGGCAATCTTTTGTGATGGTTTCTGTTATCAGGCATACATGTGTGAAGATGCCCTCCCCTCCCCAACCAGGGTTTTTCTGTCTTCATTTTATTAGAGTTCAACATAAATGACAGCTTTGATTCTGACAACTGACAGTATTTTATTTTTTAAATTATATATGTATTTTAATGCTTTGAGTTTCATAGTAGGTTTCAACAGAAGTGGAATAAATTTTGGCTTTAAAAGATGTATTGCAGTATGAAAACTTGGCAGAAATTATAACATTTATATCTAGAATAAATAGTCCTATTTTTCCTGCCATCTTAGGTGCTCTGTAACAGAGCCAGACTGGTTTCCTATCTCCCAGGATTTTGCTCTTTAGTTAAAAGAGTTGTCAATCCAAAAGCCTTTTCAACTGCAGGATCGTCAGGTTCAGATGAATCTCATGTGGCCACTGCCCCTCCAGATATATGTAAGTAGATGTTATTTTTGCTTCACTTATAATCATTTCAAAATATTTGAGTTGCATTTCCTCTAATATTTCTTCTTCTGATTTAGGAAGCTGTGTTTATTCCATTTAAAATAAGTCAGAGCTCTGGCTAAATATTTATTATCCAGAAAGATACAATATTAAAGAATGAATATAGATGCTCCTTATCTTATGGTGCGATTAAATCCCAGTTAACCCTGCAAAAATTGAAGACATGAGAGGTCAAAAATGCATTTAATATACCTTTTAGAATACAGAGTGTTGTAGGGTATGGGATATTTGCAGTGATCACGTGGGCTTAACTAGAAACTGTGTCTCACTGTCCAGCATTGAGAGAGATTATGGTAAAGCATGTTTCTAGGAAAAAGTTTGGTGCATATTCAGCAAAGGAAACAAATTAGAAATGTGAAGCGAGAACCTACAGAATGGCAGAAAATCTTTGCTAACTACTCTTCTGATAAAGGATTAATATGTTTAATATATAAAGAACTCAAAAAAGTAACACCAGAAAATCAAATATTTCAATAAATAAATGGGCAAATGAATTAAACAGATACTTGACAAAAGAAGAAATACAGATGACCACCAGATATGTGAAAAAATGTTCAATACCATTAGCAGTTAGGGAAATGCAAACCAAAACTACACTGAGATATCCTCTCACACCAGTCGGATTCTTTTAATATAGCTGACTTCTTGTAAAGTGTATATTCAATCAGTAATTTATGCTGTCTACAAAGTCTGCTGCTTCTATTTTGCACACCACTAAAATATTTTAATCATGTTGCTCTCATGATAAGCCATGATTAACTCTTATTACTCTCAGTTAGAGTTCCCAGACTGTAAGAGTTCAAGTTTTTTTGAAAAAAGTGTTCTGTTATTAAGTAAGTTTGAGAAAAATGCCATATACATGCCTTATTTGTGTTTTGAAAGTTTATAATGCACACTTAACCTATTGTGTGCTGAAAGTATTATTCATGGAATTCTTCTTTTCTTGAAACATGTGGTGAGTGTAATGTAATTTAAGTTCATTTGGGTCTTCAAAGCCTTCCATCCTGCATTGCTTTTCCTTTGTAACTTCATCTTTGACTATTACCCAGTTTATATTACTGGAAAACTTAACTGTGTGTGTATTACAAATGAAATATTTGTCATTCAGATTATATAAGCGGCTGGTATCCTGAAAAATTTTCCCCTAGATTAATAGAAAAAAATACAACCCAGTAGAAGAAACAAAAATAAAACAGGATAATCAAAACAGGCCTTTCTCAGAAGAGAAATCCTAAGTGATCAGTAAACATTAAAATATGCTCAAATCTTATTAATATAGAACATTTATTTTTTCTAAAGAGAATTTGACACTGGTAGACCTGATTGTTCTTTAAAACCAATCACATTCAAAACTTTATCTTAGGAACTAACCAGTCAATTACTAGTGGCTATCTACAGCCTTCTTTCTTACAAGTAATTAGAAACCATACAAGTATCTGTTATTGCAGTATTTGTAGTCTGTATTAATTCAGGTAGCTGATAAACAGAATTATGTCACATAATGCTCAATTTTTTTGCCCCAGTCCATTAGTGTTTTGTGCCACTTAGTAATGGCAGCTGAATGCCCCTTCCTAAGGAAGACCATTTTTAAGTTTGGTGTCCTTCCTTTTAGGTCTTTTTCTCATTGTTTAAAAATAGGAATATAAGGAAGTCAAATAAATACTGTTATTAATGCTATCCTTTGACTTAGCTTTTCTTTTAAAGATATATGTCCTGGACATCATTCTGTGTTGGTACATGAAAGTTTACTTGTATTCTTTTTAATGACTATCAAATATCTCATGTATTAATTAGAGTACTTTATTGAATTTTTCCCCTAATAATGGAGTTGCCTGTGAGCTGTCAGCTAGTTACTTTAATTAGTATAAACCACATGAAACTAATTTATGTTCATACAAGAAAGCAGATTTCAGATATCTATTTGTAGGCAAAAAAATACAATAGTAAGAACATTCTTTCAGTATGCAAATGTTCTTGACTGCTAAGAAGGAAATTATGTGTTTTGTTTCTCCTCTTCAGGCTCTAGAACAGTGTGGCCTGATGAAACTATGGGACCATTTGGACCTCAGGATCAGAGATTCCAGCTTCCTGGGAACATAGGTTTTGATTGTCACCTCAATGGGACTGCATCACAGAAGAAAAACCAGGTTCATAAAACTTTGCCTGATGTTCTGGCAGAACCTTTATCAACTGAAAGACATGAATTTGTGATGGCACAGTATGTGAATGAATTTCAGGTAAATTGCTAATATCATTGTTTTTCCAATTATTAATGCAATACTTTTTCTTAATCTGAGCATGTCACTTTTACATTGAAAAGTTTTTTTAAAAAAACTTGATCCTAGGATCCTAGTATATATAATAACAACATAAACAGTCCTTAAAAAAAAAGCAAAAAAAAAAAAAAAAACTTGACATTGTCCAAGCTATACAGTGTTTGCAGTATAATTTTTTTATATAATTTTAGGTTATAATCTGTTGTAGGTAATTAAGTCTTCAAAAATATGCTTTTTAATAACTATTTCCAATATAGATGATTTAATTATGTCTTTGTCACTGAAAATTTAGGTTACCTGTTTTTCACTTTTTAAAAATGGCAATTATAATCTGAGTATGCACTTAATTCTAACCAACTTAATACTTCACTAGCCACTCTTAAAAGCTGAAGAAAATTTTGAGGTCTCTGAAATTGTTTACAGTATGTTAAAAAGAAAGGATTCTATGTTTGTGTGTGTGTGTGTGTGTGTGTGTGTGTGTGTGTGTGTGTGTGTTTTAAATGATTTCTGAGGGTTTTTGAGTTTGTTGTTGTTTTTAGTTTTGTTGAAATACTTTAAACTGACATTGCATCATTGCTCATTCAAGGAAAAGTAACATGCAGTTCAGAATTTTGGTCAAGCCCCTAACACTTTATCTTTTTTCACATTTCTGCATCATTTCAGGCAGAGTGCTTGACCAAATCTGTATTATCAGGAACAGCCTTCCCTGTCATATGTTATTATAAGTTATATATCAGATGACCTGACATTGGGACACGGTTGACCTCCCCTACCCTTGTATCTCAGATAATTCCTTCTCAGTCTTCTTGGTTCTTCTTTCCTCCTCTGCCTACCAATTAAGTGATTTTTTTCCTACATAGTTGCTTCATCCTCATTTAAATTATTCCTTGTTCACATAATCCCTTGGCTTTCTCCACAGGCTAGGTTTTTATAATCCCTAACTCACGATTTCTATTTCTCACATTTCTGGCTCTACATTTTCATTTATCTACCAAACATCCCAGATTTTGCATGGTGAATGAGAAAGGCATATTTTATTTTAAATGAAAGTATATCGTGGTTGACATACAGAGAAAGAGGAAGTAGTGGGAAATAAGAAGGAAAAGGTAAGATATCAAAATTGTAAAAGGTCATTCAAGCTACATTAAGAAATGAAGAAGTCCACCAATACTATTAATAGTATAACCATATTTCCTTTGTATCAAGATAAAAATCACAGCACTAAACTTGACTCCCCTTCTCAGTCATATCTCCACAGTGTCAAAATCACTTCTTTCTGTGAAGTTGTTCTTTCCAGTTTTCTGCTCAGAGCCTGTCTTGCCTCTAAAAATCTAGATTAGATAAATCTGGGTTTATAAGTTGACTTTACCACTTAATTTTTTGACATTGAGAAAGTTACTTAATCTCTCTGAGCCTTTGGTTCTTTATGTGGAAAAAAAGGGAGGGACAATAATAATCTTCAGTCCACAAGGTTGCTGTGAGAATTAAATTTGAAAATGTACTTAAAGCACAAAAATCCACTAAGGGATCAGTGAATGTTGATTGTTAACTGATCTTTTACCTGTTCCTCATTACCATACATTTTCCACATTAATATTAGTTTTTTATATTTGATATTACTACTACTTGTTGCATATAGACAAAAGTCAAAATTTCTTAATGTAGCGTAAAAGACCTTTCACAATTTTGATTTCTTTCCCATCTTATTTCCCACTACTTCTCTCTTTTTTTTTTTTTTTTAACATATCATTGCCTTTCACCATTGTATACTGTTATATATAATTATCTCTGCTGGACTGTTTTTCCTTCTAATTTTCTAACCTATGCTCTACCTGTTCCTTACTTACTAAACACACAGTAGTTAATATGTACCTCAAAAATGACAATTTCAATCTTTATCTGATTTCTCTTTCTCTTACTAGGTTTGATATGTCAAAGAAGACTGGATTTATTTTATTTTTTTTTTAATAACCTTTATAGTGCCTGCTCCTGTTAAAGTGTTAGACATATTCAGTTTAATAAAGACCTCTAAGCCCTACCTGTGGGAGGGGCTGTATTATTTAATCATGTTACTTTTAAGTTAGTGTTCTTATCCCAATTTTGTAGATTATTGAACAAAATAATATATAATTAGATATAATCACAAAATACCAGAATACATAACATTTTAAGGTATAAACATGGCATTTTAGTTTTTCATCCAAATTCTCTTCATATCATATCCTAGAATATCAGCAGCATATTTTTGTTGTATTTTATTCAGAATTTCAAAGGTTCAGATCATCGATTCATCTTGGAGAAAAGTTTTTTGAGTATATAAGAAATTATTACCAGTTAAGTGTGGTAGCCCAGCCTGTCATCCCAACTATAGGGAAGGTTGAGGCAAGAGGATAACTTAGTTTGAGGCCAGGCTGGGCAGCTTAGCAAGACCCTGTCTTACCGTAGGTGGTAGAAGGCCCACCCCTAGGTTCTATCTGTATTATCCTCCCACCCCCCAAAAATACCTTCTAATAAGAATTATTTTAAAAAATTTTCTAACCAGATGAGTTCTTAACAGATATATTATTGTATTTGAACTTCAGATTTTACTTATAATCCTTGGTCCCCATAGGGTAATGATGGACCGGTTGAACAAGAAATTAACAGTGCAGAAACTTATTTTGAAAGTGCCAGAGTGGAGTGTGCAATCCAGACATGTCCAGAATTGCTTCAAAGAGGTATGTCACACCTCATATATTGAAACACTAACACGTTTAAGGTAATATTACTGATTTTGTAATGCATTGAGTAATGTACTCCAAAGGAACTATAATGCTCTGTGTCTTAATATTAGTGTGTCTGACTGGAAATGATTGCATGTCTAAGATAAAGGCTTTCAAATGTCCTCCAAAATCAGATCTCATGCTTTTTACCTAAAACTTGTCATTTATACTCCTGCATGATTATTAGATCTATAATTTCATGAACTAATATATAATGGAGACAAATCTAAATAACAAATTTATTTGAAAATTTTTATTAACAGCAATAGCATGTAATTCTACTTATCCTCCAGAATTGTTGCCAGTAATGTTTCAACTCGTCCAACAAAAATAGAAGTGAACTAAGATAAGTTCACTTTATTCTTTTAAAAAATAAAGTGTATTTGTAATAACTTAGTAAAAATAATTTAACTTAAGCATAATTTTTCTAAGGAAGTGTTATTTCTATGAACTACATCTTTTTTTAAAGCAAATTATTTTCTTCTTGGATTTTTATTCTTATTTATAGATTTTGAGTCACTATTTCCAGAAGTAGCTAATAGCAAACTAATGATTCTGACTGTAACGCAGAAAACTAAGAATGATATGACTGTTTGGAGTGAAGAGGTAGAACTTGAAAGAGAAATGCTCTTAGAAAAGGTAATTTTCTTAATTACTAACAATTTAATTTCATGGTCCAACTTAAATACCATTAAAATGGTGTATTAAAATGTCTTTTCCAGTCTTTGTTCATTCTCTGAAACATTTCAATACTAAACATCTTTTTCTAAGAACTAAAAAGCTGCAATTTTTTTGTCATTAGTATTTTTAAAAAACTTAGATTCTGTTCAATACTTTCCTTAATTTTTCTAAAATTTAAATCTGTTTTAGGAAATTTGGAAAAAGTAGTGCAAAACAACTTTTTTGAAACTCTTTATATACTCTTTTTCTTTTTGCCCCTTCCTTCCATCTGCTCCCATTCTCCACTGTAAGGCATGTCAAGTAAATAGTGAAAATTACCCCAACAATCTCCAAGAATAGTAGCAATAAACAGTAAAATAGCACAATAAATACTGTATACAAATACAACATTTTTTTTTCACCTTAGCTTTTAACCTAATAACTTCCCATACCATTATATGTAGATATAGCTCATTTTTGGTAGAATCTTTATAGTATTTCATTATACAAGTAAACCATAAGTTTTTTAAAATTATTCTAAAATTTCCTGTGTGATTTAGATGAAAATCAAACTTTTGCTATTACCAGCAACACACCAGTGAAAAATCTATTACATATATTTTAATGAATCTAATATCCATAAATTTCTAAATAGATGATTCCTGAATTAAGAGGCATTTACATTTTAAATTTTGGTAAATAATGTCAATTTGCCCACCAAAACCATTGTCCTAGTTTATATGCTGTCACTCTAGCTTAACCTGGACCGTAGCATTTTTTTTTATCAGTCCAGGAGGTGATGAATTATAACTTCAAGTCTAGTAATTTAAAACTGTACAGTTATTTGTCTTAAGAGTTTGATATTGAATTTTATCATTTCTTCTACAAGATAGATAAGAATATTCCTCTGCTTGTATGACAAGTTAAGAATAACTCACTTGCTCACTTTAGCTAATGAGTTTAAAAATCTTTACCAACTCCCATGCTTGATGTCAGGAATTATTTTTTCTTTAGGGTTGGATGTATGGCTCTTTTCATTTATAATAATATATTACCATTTACATATTCAACAGTATTTTATGATAATAACTATATACTTAAATGTCCCACATGGAACCTTCTAATAAATTTCATTTAATCTTTAACAATTTTGAATATACTAATCATGTATTAATTAACAAAGGAGGTTATAGGAGAGGCACAAGGCATTGCCTCTGATTTTAAGAAGATGTGAATTTAGATGGAGTTTAAAAGGCAATAACTAGCAATAATATTTATTTACATATTAAGATAATGCTTCGTAAATATATACTTATCATCGCTGTTACTGAGCTGTTAGAGATCTCTTACAAGTGCATTGCATTAGTAGTCCCAATTCTGGAACAGTTAAAAGTTGTAGACCTAATTTGATACTGACTCCAGTATAGTTCTAAATTGGTTTTCTATAATAAATTGCAGGGCTTTGAAATGACAACCTGCTTCATCTTGAAATTTAAATTTATGACTGAAAACCATCTCGTTTTCTACGAAAGAAACAGATAATTTTGATTGATATATGTTAGTGACTATTTTGGAACCACACCTTGCTTACTCTCCAAGTAGATATTTTATGGTTTAAACTTGTTCTTATTTTTTCCAGAAGATATCACTGTTTGCTGTTGATGAACAGAAATGTTAAGAGAAAAACTGATTCTTTTGATAATGTGGAATTCTCTTTTTAATCTTTGTAAATATTTGATTGCATTGTTTTACTCAACCTTTGTAGTTTTTAGTCATGGCACATTCATTAAATTGAAATGTATTCTAATGACTTTTTAAGAATTTTGAAGGTTAATGGACTGTATCAATAAATTTAAGTATGGAAAATAATCTAGAGAATATAATGTTACTTTAATGTTTGTCATTATTTTACAAGTAGGTATTGGTGGGAAAATAAGTGATATACCTCTATAGCAGAGGGCAACAAAATTTGGGGTTGTCAAAAAACAAAATTATAACTAACTTAGTTTTCTAAAAAAGAAAAACTTTTGACATAAATTTAACAGTTAACTTAAGCAAAGAAGATGTAGGAATAGTGCAGCCCTCTGAATTAGAAGTTCAGAAAACTTCACTCTGCCATGCAAGCAAGGTGTATTTATAGACAGAAAATAGAAGTGAGATCCAAATACAGCTTATGACAGCTCTGAATCGTATTTGAACATGATTGGCAACCTGCGATTGGCTGATACTCAGCTGTTTGTTACCAAGTAAACTTCTAACTTGGTAGTTCAGTTTATTTTTGTACCAAATTGATTTTAGGACGTTAATTGGAACTTAAGGCATGGAGACAGCCTCAACCAAATTTAACAGTTTAAAGATCTAATTGGCTTTCTTATTCTATAAAATAGAACAAGGCTTCCAATGACCTGAGCAGAGAAGGTTGGCTCTGTCAACAGAAAAGGACTAAGAATGAGAGAAGCAGCTTGGTCCTTTCATAGTTATTTTCCCCGTAGGGTTAAGACAGGGGACTGTCTTATGCTGGCTCGTATAAATGAGGTCTCTTAAGATTGGTGGTTGTGTAGCTCCTGGCTTATTTTTTGTTTGTTTGTTTTGAAAACTAGCCTGTCTGAAAGTTAGTTTAATAACATGTGGCCCCTGGCCTGAATAACTCCATTCTGGTTTGGTCTGATCTGGTGTAGTACCAAAGCAACTTTTTTTTTAAAAAAGTTTCTGTTTGACATATTCTAATTCTAAGCATCACTATTCTTGCACTTTGGGGACATGTTTAAGTAAAGTAACAATTACTTGTATACGATCACTTGTGATACCTTGTGATATCAAGACAGGTATTCAGTTAATAACACGCAGGTAGTATACACAGTGTCTATGCTGGACCAAAAAGGATGATTCCCATCCCAGACATGATGGAAATTTTACTACACTACTAAGAATGTCAGGCAATTTAAAACTTAATGTTTCTAGAATTCTTTCATTGAATGTTTTTGGAAGGTGCTTGACTGCAGGTAACTGAAACAATAGAAAGTAAATCCTCATATGGGGAGTCTTCTGTTTTGTAGGCATTGTCAGTCACTGAGTCTCAACTACTCAGTTCTGCCTTAATGTTTAAGCAGCCTTAAGCAACAGTATATAAATGAATAGATGTGGCTGTGTTCCCATAGAACTTTTTATCAAAACAGGTATCAGGTAGGATTTGGCTATGGGGCTTTAGCTTGCTAGTGTCTAATTTAGGATATACCTACATTCCTAAGTCTTAGACTTTTGAGTATTTTAGCTGAAGACCAGATGTGCTCAGAGGGGTCTCTTCATTCTTGGTGATCAAGAAATCCAGGTTTCTTATGTGTATTCATATTCATGCATGACCCTAGGTATCACATCAGTTCTGAACCCTACAACTAACAGCCTCTGCCATGCCTCAAAGAATCTTGCCTTCTCTTTACACAGCTCAGCCCTTTGCTAAGGAACTGGGATGAATTGCTTTGTAGGCTGCTCAGGAACCTTCTTTGTGTATCGCATCATCTCTACTATTCTCCCTTAAAAATTTCAGGTGTTTCAGTAGTCAGTCCAGAACTCTTACTTTGCACCTACTTAGCTGAGTGACACCAGTAATTAAATACATTTTGAATGCCATGGTCTCTATTTCTTTTTCCCTTCTTTTGGCCAAAAAAAAAAAAAAAAAAGTCCCTAGACAGAAGGTTAGAGCAGTTTTGGAAATTACTTAATTTGTTTTGCTCCTTTCAACAACTACAATTTTATCTATTATTCAGGGTCTAAAAATTGTTGCTTTGTGTAGTTTTTAGCACTATTTGGTACTTGTTACTCTGTTGTAGCTAAAAATGGAATTATGCCATTGCTTTTGAACATTTATGATTTTTCTTCAACATGTGATCTAGACTAAATATTCATTATCATATTTTCACTGCTTACATTTTTTATAAAGTTAATATAGACATTATAGAAATTAGGATGATAAGGCCAAAATTTTGATACAAAAGTTTAATATACAAAACATATACAGTTAATATACAAAAGATACACAGGGTGTATAATGAAGAGAAAGTATCCCAGTTACCCTTCTTCCCCGTCTATCAAGTTCAGTTACTTTTCTGTATCTTTTCAGAAATATTTCAGAACTTTTTAGATGGAGGTATATGTTGAAGAACACACAAACAAGTAATGTTTTAAAATAACTTACTCAAACTAATGAATGGTTTAGATTTTTTCATTATATTTTATTTTCCTTTTCATTCCTATTTCTAGTCTCCTTATTGATACAAGATGGCAACTTCATAATTTATCACAAATTTAGGAATTAATAGTGCAGACTGATTAGTCATATTTCAAAAAGTAGGAAATAAGATAGAAGAAAAAAATACAGAATTTAAGCTTCAAAAGAAATAAAACTATTGTATTGACCATTGATCTTTTGAAATGGTGAAAATATTATGACTTTATAATTTAATTATCATTTTATTCTTATTGAGCCCTTTATCCAAAGCAGAAGATACTCCTTTAAGAAGTTGTTAAAAAATAAAATGATCTTTGGTGAAGACTATATTGAAAATATTCTTTGTATGTTTCTCTATGCAGTTCATTAATGGTGCTAAGGAAATCTGCTATGCTCTTCGAGCTGAAGGCTATTGGGCTGACTTTATCGACCCATCATCTGGTTTGGCAGTGAGTAATTAAATACATTTTGAATGCCATATCATGTGAAGTAAGATGATTTTTATTACAAAATTATTAAAAATGAAGACAGTTATTAATTTTTACCTTTATTAGCATAAAATTTGGTTTATATTAGTATATTTACTGTTTATAAACTGAAAATTAGAAATTAATATTGTCTGATTTCTTTAAGGAAGAAATGATTATTTTTAGAAGCGAAGAAAATATTTTTAACTATCCAGAGAAGTAACTTTTTGGAAATTGGTATTTAGAGTTATGCTTTGAAGACAATACTGACCCAAAATTGTGGTCTCATTTTAAATTCTGAATATTTCTTTCATTTACAAGTGGTGATAAAATCAGTTTTTTAATCTTAGGATATGTAGTGCTGTTTCTCAAAGTCAAAGATGTAATATAGACTAGAAATAGAAGTTTGATCTGGGCTTTAATTTTCTTATCTTGACAATGATGAAAGTGAATCAGCTGATTCTCAAAAGTTTATTTTATCTTTAAAGTTTGTATCTGATTCTAAGTAACATGAAATTTACTAAAAACATTCATATTTTCAGAATACACAGGTATTAGAGAAGCAGGTGTTAGGACAGTTTAGGTATCGCATATGACCTTTTTATTTTTTATTTGATTTTGTAAATATGTGGGGTATTAAAATGAATGTGTTCATATTTTCATAAAAAAATTATTGCTATAATTTATTTCTTCTTAATGAAAATATGATTTCATTTTTTATTTCCTCTAGTTTTTTGGACCATATACAAACAGCACTCTTTTTGAAACAGATGAACGTTACCGATATTTAGGATTTACTGTTGATGATCTTGGCTGCTGTAAAGTCATCCGTCATAGTCTCTGGGGTACCCATGTGGTTGTAGGAAGTATCTTCACTAATGCAACACCAGATAGCCATATTATGAAGAAACTAAGTGGAAACTAGCAATAATGTCATTTTATTTGCTGCTTTATTTGTTTGTTATTGATTGAACAATATAAACTGTCAAAGACTACAATTTTGGAAATATACTTATTTCCAGGTATATATTTCAATGTTTATGGATTTACAACACTGGCAAGTGATTTGGGATTTTAAGATTACAAATGTTAATTATTCATATTGTCATTGAGTATATGTGGAGCACTTCCACATTGTACAAATGTGGTAGTTAACACACGATCAGGGTATGATTGGTCTCTTATTATTAGTTCTCCCCTTTATTGAAAAAGCCTTAGTTTTAATTATTTTTTTCAAAAAAATCATATATTTGGTTATTATGGCATGTGTTCTTTTATTGCAATATTTTAAAACTTAGTTCTTAAAAGATTTTAAAGTAGCTACAGTTTAATTTTCAAGTTGTTTTTAATAATACAAATGAGAATTCTACATCCATTGTAGACTTTTCTAATTTTCTTTCTTCTTTATTTGTTAAGCATTCTCAAACTAATCTAAATATTACTTTGAAATAACATGGGGAGGAAAAAGAATAAAGATAATACATCTTGATGTATAAAAAAAACAAAAAGCATATGAATCTCATTCTTATACACACTTTAAAAAAAAAAAAAATTCTTAACTCCTGAGTTGGGCCAGATAAATACATTGTATTTTCAGATAAAACTATGCCTCTGCTGCTGAATCACATTTCTTCAGCCTCATTACTTTAGTGCCTTTGTGACAGAACTTGTTTTTATAGCATTATAAACTTTAAAGGAATCATCTTTAATTTGTAAGGCTTTGCCAATAGAAATAGACAAATCTCAGGGAAAAAACAATTTCTACCAACTGAAATAATTGAAATAAACTATATTTTTCTTTGTCTTTTGTTTTTGTAATTAAATTTTTGTTTTTAAAAGGAGTACATGGAGACCACCAACTTTGATTTAAAACTCTTTGCTTAGTTAACTTGTAGCTTGATATAATAACTATTGCCTGCAATTGAAACAGTAAAAGTTACAAAGTTTGTATTCATTATGCGAAAAATGTGGTGGTTTCCATAACATTTTGAAAACAATTTATTAATGTGTGTATGTATATATACATGTATACATGCATATACACATGTATATGATAAGCTTTCATCTGTAACTAGCACCCAGTTAAAAACACCAAACATCAAGTGCTCCAGAGGATTATCCTGCTGCCTTCCAGGCATTTTACTTCTCCCAAAGATAACCTCTATTGCATAAATTGATTTTTATATCTGAACCCATATGTTTCCTTTTGTGTCTGGCTTCTTTTATTCAGACATCTGCTACATTGCACATTCTTTGTGCCATGGGTTGAAACTTGTTTTAACCATTCTAAAGTGCCATCTACTGGTTGAAATGATACTTACTCCTAGGTGGCCATAGCTATGTACTGTATTGTATGGGGAAGAGACTGACTACATGGTGCTGAGACTCTCTTTATTACCTTGACTTTCTAACAAGATTTCCAGAAACAAATAGCATGGTAAGCAGTAACTGCCAGTAATTTTTTTTTTTCCTTGAAGTGTTATGGCAGGATTCAGGAAGGTAGAACTCTTGCTAGTGGTAATAATAGAAAGTGCTTAATTATTATGTACTCTGTAAGAAAAACACCTCAAGTATCAGGTTTTTTTATGATAATTTGATCAGGACTGTATAACAAAGAATTTGTAAATTATCCACTTAAACATTAATTCTCTACCTTTTAAAATAAGATTTAGACATTGAAATCGATATTAAACCTGTCAATGAAAAAAAATTAGAGGATTGTAAAATTTATTTTTATAGGAACTTGGGAATTTTGGTATGACAGTTAAATGTTGAAAAGGGGTCTTTCAGATAATCTGATCCACATCACTTAGATTTTAAAGAACAAAATTGGAAAACAATGTACAAAGGTCACATCTAGTGTTGAAACCCTACACCAGAACTGGGCTGTAATTCCATTATTTACATATATTTCCTTTCTATATTTGTTCTTCATGGTTATCAAGAATCTAGTAAGTATCCAATTAAAAATATCAAAGAGGCAGAATATAAGCTGAAAAAACTTCAGTGTTAACTAATACTGGCTGCTCTATATCTTTCACTTAGAAATTTATTTCATTGAACCCTGTTTGCTCTGAATTTCTTTGAAAATTTCTGAAACATTTATTTAAAAATTCAGTTATAGGACTGGGGATATAGCTCAGTTGGTAGAGTGCTTGCTTCGCATGCACAAGACCATGGGTTCAATCCCCAGCACCACAAAAAAAAAAAAAAAAAAAAAAAATTCAATTATAGAATGTTACACTTCAAACAGAAGTTCTCTGGCTTCATATTTAAAAATGTCTTTCTTGATTTCCATCACTTATATTTGAACAAAATTCTGCTTGTAGTTCCAGTTCTGTTCTCTCTTCTCATGACTGGTTTCTTATTCCAAAGCAGGGTTTGTCCACCTCTGCACTATGTACATTCTGAGTCAGATAATTCTTTATTGTGAGGGTTTTATACATTGTAGTCTATTAAACAGAATTGTCTGAACTCTGCCCACTAGATACCAGTAGCAATACCTGATCATGACAAAAAATTTTCTGAAGTCAAGTTTAACCAGTTGTTCTGTATTTTATCTGACAACCCTACTCCCAATTGAGAAACACTGATTTAAGGCACCTTCTAACTCGGTGGTCTTCAACCTACATTTGTATATTAGGATCATCCAAGAAAGCATTTGATAATACTGATGATTCGGCCCCACTACCACAGATTGATTTCATTAGGTTCCTGAGGTCCGGGCATCAGCATTTTTAAAAGAATTTCCAAGTGGTTTATTATGCCATTAGGGTACTCTAAAACTCAGTGGAATAAAAAGGCATTAAAGAAATAAGAACAGGATATCAATATGAATTTTAAGGATTAAGGAAATATTTTTAGTAGGAGTGTCCTAATCAGACCCAAATCAATTAAAGAAAGGATTTGTTTGAGTCGCACTTCATGAACCCTTTTCTGCTACTGCACCCTCATCAGTCCTCCCTTATATTGAAAAGTACTTTGTTGTATACTAGTATACAATTGTTTGGGGTTTTGATTTGGGTTTTTCTTAAATTTTGTCTCCCATACTTAGAAATTAGGAATCCCAATTCCCTACTGAAGAACAGCACTGAACATGAAACAGTAACTTTTATTCTCATCCTCTGATTACTAACCTGGGTATTTTAAACTTACATAGATTTTTGTCTGCCCTCCAATCTTTTTGTCAATAGGATATATGTAGACTGTTACTTCATTATCCAGTGGACTTAGATAAAGGCTTTGAGTGTTTGACTTCCAATTATACTGAAAATTACTATAATCACTTAAAAACGTGTTACTGCTATAGAAAGCAGATAAATGATTGCTTGACTGATAACAAAGGTGACATTGCAGTGCAGTGAGAAAAGGGTGATCTTTTTTAAATATCCTCCTGGGTCATTGAATATACATACAAGAAAAGAATATTTTTACTCTTACCTTGCACCATACACAAAAATTACTTCCAAATGGATGGCTTAATGTAGATGTGAAAAGTTTAAAGCAATTAAGTAAAAAAACTTAGTGACCTTGGAGTAGACAAAACTTTTCTAATAACCAAATGAAGGGAAGGTTTTGATGAATTACAGTAAAATTAAGCTTTTAATGCATCAAAGACTCATGAAGGTGAAGGCAACTAACAATTGGATATATAAACACATCCATCAACCCAGCAATATAAAATATCCAACAAAAACTCATTCAAGATATATCAAGAAGTCATAAAATTGGTGTTACAGTTTGGATGAGATGTCCCCCAAAAGCTCCTATTAATGCAAGAGTATCCACAGGTAAGATGATTAGATTATGAGAGTGGTGACCTGATTGGTTCCTCCTAGTTTGGATCCACTGGATGTAACTGTTGGCATGTGGGACAAGGCTGGAGGAAGTGGGTCACTTGGGATGTGCCCTGAAACCGGGGGAGGGCGGGATTTTGTTCTTCCTGTGCCCCCTCTGCCTGACCATGCATTGAGAAGCTTTCCTACATTGTCATCTATCATGATGTGCTGCCTTACTTTGGGCCCAGAACAGTGGAATTGGTAGTCTATGAACTGAGACCTCTGAAGTCATGAGCCCCAAGTAAACTTTTCTAAGTTGTTCTTATTGCATATTTTAACATATTGACACAAAAGCTGACTAAAACAATTAAAAAAATAAAGCTTTATATATAAACATTGGCAAAAAATAACCCAAATGGCCAATGAATATTGGGTCATTGAATATACATACAGGGGAAGAATATACATGGGGTATATTCATTGGGTAAAAAATATACACTGCAGATACACACACACACACACACACATTGGGTTTATATACCCAAGTAGGTTCTCTACTTAAATCAGGTTGCAACTATGTACATCCACACAATATCATATCATACCATACCACTGCATGTTTCCCCCTACAGTGGGTGAAATGAAGAAGATAACAAGTGTTGGCAGAGATATGGAACATTTGCTATTATTGGGAGGATAGAATAGTAAAAACACTGGAAAACTGGAAGTTTTAAATCTTAATATATCATAGGGCTTAGCAATTCCACCGAGACAGAGACCCAGGAGAAATGGGTACAGAGGTTCCACCCAAAGGCATGTGTTCCTATAAACATCTATACCAGCACAATGTTAATAGCTGAAGTAGGAAACTACTCAAATGCCCATTGAAATTAAAATGAACATATCAATTGTGGCATGTTCACATAGTGGAATGCTACATAATACTGAAAATAAGTGCTTTATGACTACAACAAAATGGTAGAAGCTATTTAATATACAATAATGTGTTAAAGAAGCCAACGCAAGAGTACATACTATACAATCCCGTTAATGTCAATCACAAAAATGAAAGTTCTGCTAGAAGTTTAGGATGGCATTTACCCTTGGGAGGGGAAAGATTTGGTTCTGGAATGTCTCCCAAAGGCCTGTGGTTAAAGGCTTGATCACCAACCTATGGCACTATTTGAAAGGGGTATAACCTTTAGAAGGTGGTGTAGTGGAAGGAAATCAGGTCATTGGGGGTGTGTCCTTAAAGTGGGTACTGGAATCCCAGCCCCTTGTTTCTTTGCTTCCTGGTTCCTTCCATAGGTAGACAGGTTTTCTCTGCTGCCCCCTCCTACCACCATACCACCATATGTCCAAAGCAATGGAGACAACTGATGGCAGATCGAAACCTCTGAAACTGAGCCAAAATAAACTACTTCCTTTTAAGTTGATTATTGCAGATATTTTTCACCTCAACAGAAAGATAATTAACACACTGGCTGGAAAGTAGTACTAACTTTTCCTTCTTGGAACAAAAATAGGCCAAGCAGGCAAGGTTGCAGTGCTATAATCTGCTTTGATCTTGTTCTCTATAAAACTTGAGGCTCTAATTGCTTCAATTTTGTGTTATATAGATTATATTTAAGTTACAAATTATATATTCTAGTATGAAGATCTTGTGTCATTAAATTGTCACTTAAATGGATGCTAATTTAATAATACAAAAACAGGAACAATTTTTTAAAACTAGTTTGTACTCATTGCCTATGTTGCAACTGTATATGCCACTTTGCTACAAATTGAATTTTTAGGTTTTTAGTAATAAAAAGCTATCCCTGTCACAGATATCTTGAGGAAGTGCCTGCCAAAACGTGCAGTTTTGTTGCTAGAGTACTTGAGCACGATTCTTGTCACATAGATGATCAGTGATAGATGTTGTGAAATGCACACTGAGTGACTTAATGATGCTTCAAAACAGTTAATTCAGATTTACTGGGATCCACTGGGGCTTCGCCTTGGTACCCACTGAGATCCAACAACCTGGTGTAAGGAGATCTCTAGTTTCAGATTAGTTCAACATGTTTTATAATCATAGCATTATTTCATCAGCACAATTGGAACAGTATGAAATATGCTGCCTGTCTCCCAAATATTATGTGGTACATACTTACACTAAAAAAATTAGTTTTACCTGAAATACAAAATCATCTTACTCTATTTTATTTGCTAAATCTGTTGACCCTATGTGAATGACATTTGCTGCCAAAAAGTAGTTGTGGTTTTTTTGCACATAAGTATTATTTTTATTATTTTTTTGCAAATACCAATGAATTCCCTATTAATAGAGCTCTGTGCTACTTCCAGTCTTTGCTAGTATAAACAATGCCACATTGTACTATCTGTGTTTGTGACATTTCTTGGCTTCACCAATGTGTCTTGAGGATATATTTCTTTACTATTATTATTATTATTATTATTATTATTATTTACTTATATATGACAGCAGAATGCATTACAATTCTTATACATATAGAGCACAATTTTTCGTATCTCTGCTTGTATATAAAGTATATTCACACCAGTTCGTGTCTTCATACATGTACTTTGGATAATAATGTCCATCACATTCCACCATCATTAATAACCCATGCCCCCTCCCTTTCCCTCCAACCCCTTTGCCCTATCTAGAGTTCGTCTATTCCTCCATACCCCACTATGAATCAGCCTACTTCTATCAGAGAAAATATTTGGCATTTGATTTTGGGGATTGGCTAACTTCATTTAGCATTATCTTCTCTAACTCCATCCATCTACCTGCAAATGCCATGATTTTATTCTCTTTTACTGCTGAGTAATATTCCATTGTGTATATATGCCACATTTTTTTATCCATTCATCTATTGAAGGGCATCTAGATTGGTTCCATAGTTTAGCTATTGTAAATTGTGCTGCTATACACATTGATGTGGCTGTGTCCCTGTAGTATGCTGTTTTTTAAGTTCTTTGGGTGTAGACCAAGGAGAGGGATAGCTGGGTCAAATGGTGGTTTCATTCCCAATTTTCCAAGAAATCTCCATACTGCTTTCCATATTGGCTGCACCAATTTGCAGCCCTACCAGCAATTTATGAGTGTATCATTTTCCCCACATCCTCACCAACACTTATTGTTGTTTGTCTTCATAATAGCTGCCATTCTGACTGGAGTGAGATGAAATCTTAGAGTAGTTTTGATTTGCATTTCTCTAATTGCTAGTGATGATGAACATTTTTTAATATATTTGTTGATTGATTGTATATCATCTTCTGAGATGTGTCTGTTCAGATCCTTGGCCCATTTATTGGTTGTTTTTTGTTTGTTTGTGTGTGTGTGTGTGTGTGTGTGTGTGTGCTTAGCTTTTTGAGTTTTTTGTATACCCTACAGATTAGTGCTGTATCTGATGTGTGAGGGGTAAAGATTTGCTCCTAAGATGCCAAGATGTAGGCTCTCTATTCACCTCACAGATTGTTTCTTTTGCTGAGAAGAAACTTTTTGGTTTGAGTTCATGCCATTTATTGATTCTTGATTTTAATTATTATGCCAAAAGAGTCTTATTAAGGAAGTTGGGGCCTAACCCCACATGATGGAGATTAGGGCCTACTTTTTCTTCTGTTATACACAGGGTCTCTGGTTTTATTCCTAGGTCCTTGATCCATTTTGAGTTGAGTTTTGTGCATGGTGAGAGATAGGAGCTTAATTTCATTTTACTGCATATGGATTTCCAGTTTTCCCAGCACCATTGTTGAAGAGGCTATCTTTTCTCCAATGCATGTTTTTGGCACCTTTGTCTAATATAAGTTAATTGTAATTTTGTGAGTTAGTCTCTGTGTCCCCTATTCTGAACTATTGGTCTACCAGTCTGTTTTGGTGCCAATACCACGCTGTTTTTGTTACTATTGCTCTGTAGTATAGTTTAAGGTCTTGTATAGTGATGTCACCTGCTTCACTCTTCCTGCTAAGAATTGCTTTAGTTATTCTGGATCTGTTATTTTTTGAGATGAATTTCATGATTGTTTTTTTTCTATTTCTATGAGGAATGCCATTGGGATTTTGGTATGGTAGTATGGTCATTTTAATAATATTAATTCTGCCTCTCCAAGAGCAAGGTAGATCTTTCCATCTTCTAAGTTCAGTAGTTGTTTTTAATGGTAAGAAACTTACAGGACCAAACTAAAAAAAAAATTAAAGACCAGTACCTACTGAAGTTATAAAGGGTACACACTTTGAATACTCTGGAAAATCAACACATTCAGGATTAAACAATACCTCCATGGCTTATCAGCTGTTTATAATTTCAATTTTTCCCTTTGATTGTTCATGATCACTGTTTATTTATCACTATTTTATCTCTCATGTTTGTTTTTAAAATGTGACTTAGATCTTCAATATTAAAATTGACAATACTTTTGAAGACTTTAATTTTCCATATTTCTATTAGATTACACAAGGACATGAAATTCATTTCTCGTTTGCTTACATAGCATGTGGCTTCATTTACCCTTGTTTAAATTTATTTTAAGTAATACAAACTCCATCTCCAATGTCACACAATCTTAATTGTCAATTTTAAGGTTTGTTGCCATCCGAACTGAATTAAGTGACTGTTAGGGTCAAAAGGAAGACATAGTTCTGGCACAGTAAACAAGCTTGGAAAGAGAAAGGGAAAGTATGTTTATTACAGTGTAACTAAGTTATAGTAATAAGATTTGTCCTATATTAAGCCCGGGTGAGTTAAAATACCTTCTCAGAGTCAAGTGGTCACTCATGGGAAATAAATTAATTCTCCTGAGACCCTGGAGCATGAATTAGTGATCTGGAAGAGGGAATTAATCTCAAATGGATGAGCACTTGGCTTTGAAATTGCTCTCTATTTATAGTTCTCTTAGAATCAAATTTAGATCGAACCCACAGCATAGTTTTATGCAGATAAACCAAACTCCACATTGATTCAAAACAATAATGTCTCCAAGTGGTAAAAATAATTTTAGCCTATTGAAAAAAAAACTTTTGTGTGTATGTGTGTGTGACAATGAACACACCAAGTCCCCCCCAGAAAATTAGAGGTGAGGCTGAAAAGTGAAGAAGCAGCAAGTATTATTTATTGCTTTCAAAACTATTGATCCACTTCTGAAATTAATCCTATTTTTCGTTTTTAAACTTTTATTTTCACAGGCAACTTAAAGATTCGTAAAAGCCTAATTAGATAGTTAATTTTCTCACATTGTATTATGAAGGATAACTGAAAAAAAGATTAACTCCATAAATTACATGTAAGTATCAATCCCATTTCCTTTTCCATCATTTAGATAAAAGACACTCAGAGTTGTAAGTTTTGGTTGGTTATAAACCAACTAACTAGCAGAAGGAGCTGTGGCAAGTTCGGGATTACCTTTGGCTGTTGGACTTCCCGCTACATTCCTCCATTTCATAGTGGAAAATAATCTAATTCTAACAATGAGTGTCCTTTTAATGAATATACATATGAATATATATATATATATATATATATATATATATATATATATATACACACTCACACATGCACATACTTCTTGTGAACAAAACTTCTAACTGCAAAATAGCTATATATGTGAATCATGTTACCTGATTTAAATATTAAAGTTTATAAAATATGAATATTTCAAATGGAAAAGAACCTCTAATTTTTTTTATTAGAGCTTTATGGTTGTACAAAGTAATTGGGTTCATGCATGGATCTTTCAGTTCATAATTTCCCTTTTCCTTCCTGTCCTCCCCGCTTTCTTCTTCCTCTACTAGACTTCCTTTTGCTGATCTATTAATTTATATGTGATCAGTTTCTTATGTAATCTTATCCTTACCTCCATTTTATTTTATTCTAGCTTCTGTATATGAGAGAAAACATTCAACCTTTGAGTTTTTGAGTTTGAGTAATTTCACATAGCATGATATTCTCCATTTTCACACCTTTTACTGGCAAATGCCATAATTTCATTCTTTTTAATGGCTGAGTAGCACTCCATTGAATGTATATACAACAATTTCTTAATTCATTCCAAGGCATCTCGGTTGATTCCATAATTTAGCTATTGTGAATTGTACTGCTATAAACATTGATGTGACTGTGTTGCTGTAGTATGACGATTTTAGATCTTTGGGGAAAATACCAAGGAGTGGGAGAGCTGGATCAAATGGTGGTTCCATCCCTAGTTTTTTTGAGGAATCTCCAAACTGCGTTCCAGAGTGGTTGTACTAAGTCTGCAGTTAGAACATCTAATTTTGAACTGAGGACTTTTTGTAACTTTTTTAATGGTCATTGATATTTAAAAACATAGTTTGCAATGATACTTTTGACCAATAGGTGTCACCATCTAATTACCAGAAATTCCTCAAATTTGGGACTTCTAGTTTTGCAAAGACTTGGAGCCTTCTGATTTTGTAAAGAATAACCTATCTTATCTATTCTGCATGTCTAAAATTTGAATTATTCTATTTAAAAAGAGAAATCCTTATACATTGCTAATGACTTCTTTGTTTTCTCCTCATGCTATTAATCATTATTATTAGATGCCACTATCTGGGCTGTGAAACTATATTATGTTTTAAATAGAAAATGAATTTGCAGTAACTAGACTGTCTAACAGTTACACATCATTTTTTCCCATTTTTTAAATCACAACATCCTGGGAAAGAATGTCACAGTGCAGTCTAGTATCTTGAGAGAAAGATTCCTAATGTAAGGCAAGTGGCAGCAGAAAACATACGGTGAGGTCAAATTTTTCTTCACCAGCAAAGAAGTCAGAAATCTTAGCCAGAAAGCACTGTGTTTAGTCTAATATGGTTTCATTTTGTTTCTATTGTCAAGCAATTATTTAGTGCTTATTGTCCCATAAAAAAAGAAACCATGTCTCTGAAATATGAAAGCCAACAGTCAATAAGGGTTAGCTGTTGAGCTTTAGACGTGTTTGTAATGTATTGTGGCTTCACAGAAGAATTAAAAACATGTAATATGTGAACTATAGAAAAATGCATCAAAAAATGAACCAGTTAAGGTCTAGGGTTGTAGCTCAGTGGCAGAGCACTTGCCTAGCTTGTGTGAGGCACTGGATTTGATCCTTAGCACCACATAAAAATAAATGAATGAAATAAAGGCATTCTGTCCATCTACAACTACAAAAAAAATTTTGTTAACTGAACCAGTTAAATTTTTTCATGTTACTGTGCAGCATTTAGAACAGGACATGGCAAAATTCAAAGTGGCTTCTGAATCATAAAGGAAAATTCAAAATTTATAATTATTTTAATATTGTTCTGATTGGAAAAATAAGCCTCAGAGTAATATACACATTAATTGAACTTTAAGGACAAGTTAAATAAGCAACAGAACTTATACAAACAGTTTGTAGCTTTGTAGGCACGAAAGAAAAAGGTATTAAACTATAGCTGCTTTTTAGTCCTCCCCTTTAGTTTTTAAATGAAAAAATTCAAAAGCATGAGTTAATGCCCTGGAGAGACTTTAAGAGGTCTGTCCAAGGTTGCGTTAGAATCCAGGTTCCTGGGTCTTTGTGAACTACTTCTCTTTTAATTAGCAATTTCTGATAATTCAGCTAGGCTTTGAAATTAATATTTTATTTTCTACTAAAAAAAGAATTTTCAAGTACAGTGTAGGCTTTTATAATATTACCAATTTGCATTACATGATCACTATTTTTAATGCAATCTTAATTAGAAACCGCAGCTCTACTTCATTCAGTGCATCAGTGACAACAGAAATGTCAAGAAGTTCTGTCTGATGATGGTATAAGGATTAATAGAGAAAGAAAGGCCAATACCTTTGATGTGATAAAATATTTGATGTGCTCAGTAATATTTAGAGATACTATAACTTACCCCATACTGTTTTTGTGAATATTAAATTAGATATTTATGTAAATTTCAACAGATAATGTGTGTGCAAAAAACTGTTAATTTTGAATCTCCTACTGATTTATAAATAGAGTCATCATGGTAGACATGAACAACAATTGGACCTTTATAAAGACCTAGGAAAATCTCCATAGAGGGAACCATTTTGCACTAGGTAGGACTTATATATAAAATATAAATATTTTATAGTTATACACATTTATGGTTTTAAGAAGGCACCTTTGTTGTTGAATTTCCTTCCGAAACAGTAATGTTACAGATCTGAAACTCCTAATTTTTTTTTTTTTGTGGCTCCTGCAAGATTTCTCAGGAATGCAACTATCACATTATGCCAAAATAAACAATTGAGATTATGGGACTATTAATTTGATCTTGGGGAACTATTTCAAGCATTCTGTTGTTCACAGTGCACTCTATTTACCAACATAGGTAAAAGCAAGCCCTTTGCTATTTATTTCAGTCATTGCTTGCTTACACTATATGATATGGTTTGAATATGGTGTCTCTCTAAAATTAATACTTTAGAACTTAACCCCCAAGGCAGTAGGTATTCAGAGGGAGGGCATTTGGGGAAGTGATAGCTTTAATTCTCCTATGAAAGAGATTTCAGAGAGATCTCTCCCATTCCCTTTATCTTTTCTGCCCAACGAGGACATATCCTACCCACTTCCAGCAATCCAAACAACAGACTGTCATTTTCACAAGTGGGAAAACAAGCAGAAGAAGTTAGGTGAGATGGTAACGTCACACAGATAATGAGAGGCAGAGCCAGGATTAGAACAGGAGCAATTGAGCCCACAGTCTAACGTAATGCCTCTCCTGATGCCAGTTTGTAAGGAACAGCCTTCTTCAGTTCAGATGTATTGAAACTGAAGAGGAATATAGGCATGGGAATATGTACCAGGTAGTACGGACAGGAATCTAAAATTCAGAGAATTGTCAAGATCAGGATCTAGAATTGAATGCCTCATAAACCTCACTCGGTTAACTTAATATTAAGTTATAACTTAATAACTTAATATTCACAACACTTCATTACTGAATCTGAGATTCAGATTTAACCCATTGATTTTACACAACTCAGGAAGTATATGGGAGCAGCAATCAAAATTATACAGATTTTCAGACTCCTTGAAAAGAATGTTGAGACACTTTGTCACCAAACCTCTCATAGTTGTTGAATTCTGCTTATCTTTCACTTTCTTATGTATTCCAATAATTTGCTTGTGGGCTGTATTGATTTCCATTTGGTTTAGTAAATCAGGAGGCTTGTTAAAGTTCCAACCTTTACCAAGTGTTTTATGATTCTAAAATTCTCAATATTGCAACATGCCAAAGAAATATTATGATGAGTTCAGATATCCATACACACCACAGGAAATTAAAGAGCTGAATAGCATTGTCATTAAGAGAATGAGCTTTGGAAAAATGACTGGGTTTAGATCTCAACTCTGACATTTTTAAGTTTTCTGACTGTGAGCATGTTATTTTCTGCCTCTAATGACACTCCTCATGGGAAGTTTTAAGATTTAGGAGGGATGACACATGCATGTCACTTCTCACTATTCCTATCGAAGAAGTCAGTAAATCTTGGATTTATTATCTCCTCTCTGAATGCTTACAAATTTTGTGAACCTCTATACTGGCAAAAATTACCAAAAAAATGCATTTACCTAAAATTATTTAATACAAATATCTTCAAGAGATGTGTTTGACAGAACACTTTAATATTTAATTAATGACAACCTTGGAGAAGGAAAATATAATACTAGCACAAACAATTCATCACATCCAAAACAAATACAAGGCAAACTCCTACTAGGTGTTTATACATACATAATGTGTTGAGTTAGGTAATCACGAACTCACTGCTTTAGATTTAATCAGCCACTACATCAAGAGATAATTGTTGGAAAGTTTTGATTGGCATTTTAAATGGTTTCCCTTTGGTAAGGTGGGCAGTATATTAAAACCCAGCAGATAAACATTGGATTGAATAGAATTCTACCTCATAACTTTAGAAATGTACATATATAACTATGAAAGAAATAGAGCTTTTAAAAGTGCCAATCTTTATAGTGACAGATGCTATGTGTTTGTATAGCCAAGTTTTAAAAGTCCTACCTAGTGCAAAATGGTTCCCTCTATGGAGATTTTCCTAGGTCTTTATAAAGGTCCAATTGTTGTTCATGTCTACCATGATGACTCTATTTATAAATCAGTAGGAGATTCAAAATTAACAGTTTTTTGCACACACATTATCTGTTGAAATTTACATAAATATCTAATTTAATATTCACAAAAACAGTATGGGGTAAGTTATAGTATCTCCAGATCCCGAGGAGGAAATCAAAACTTAGAAAGAAATTACTTAGTGTCACAAGGCTTTTAAGCGATGAACTAGGAATACAAACTCAAATCTTTTTTGATCTTAAAGCCCTTGTCTTTCAGATCATAGTGCCTCATGAAAACCATTGATCAAGCTTCTCACTTGAGGAAACAGCTTTTGGATATTTTATTGGAGGAAGACACTGCTGATTATAGGGATATTATTTAAACATGATTTAAACTGATTTTGATAAATTATTTTTTAGGTTCCTGGAAGGCATAAGTAATAAGACTCCTTAGTAAAGTGTTTATGTGGTAGGTGGCTCAGAGTGTGTGCTGCTGCTTTGGAATCTAAAAGTTCAAGAAGGCTTTGAAGCTTGATTTTACAGAAAGAACACTATTCTTAGACTAATTACTGGAATTTGGATAAAATTAAAATTCTGCGCTGGAGGTGTAGCTCAGTGGTGGAGCACTTGCCTGGCATATGAATAAAAACTAGGCCCAGCACACTCAGAATATCCTCCAAATGACTCATAAATAATGTGGAAATCAACATGGGTTGGTGAATATCAGAGTATTGTAAATGGCTTAACCTGAATTTTGACATTTGTATAGTAATCATATAAATGAATTAGAAAGAAACATACTAAAAGAAGTTTTAGTAGGAATAAATGGAAGTGTTTGCCCTCAATTAAAAAGAATATAGACATTCATGTGCATAAATTTAAATGTGCAAATATCCAGAGGTTTGTTTTATTCCTGATCTTATTCTACCATATTACTTATTACAAATTATTTATTATTTTTATAATACCAAGAATATCAGGAGTTTTTTTTAACTGCTATAATTTTGCCCATCTTAGTACCAAACTAGAAATATAAAATTTGAAGGCAGCAGCCCTGTTATTTTAAATTAGGTATTCCTTTTGCTGTTAAACATTCTTTAATGTGGAGTACCTGTTTTCAGAATAATGTGTTTAAATGCATAAAATATATGTGATTATTTTAATTTTTTTAAATACATTTATCAAAATATTTTTAAAATTTGTGACATGTGTTTTTATTAATGCTTTAAACCAAAAGATCAGCAGCAGTCTAATAGCTACTATAGTTTTGAATTAATGATGAGGATAAATGGTCTTCTGAGATATCTGTAACATCTAAATGTGATAGCAAGAGATCTGTGTTTTCCATTGGTGACAAGTCAGAGGAACCATTAATAACCCTGAACTTGTTGTTTATGTTCTTAATGGAAATAAATACTAAATTTCAGCTGAATGTTAGTGAAAATAAAGATGCAGTTTTCTCCCAAACAAATTTATTCTACACACGGACCCTCACATTTAGAAAACCTGTACGTAGTCTGTTTTTCTGAAAGCGTATTATCAGCAATGGCTACTTTATTGCATGCTTTGGGGTTTCTATTATGGTCGTCCTTGTAATATTTGTAGTCTAAAGGAACTGACAAATAAAGCTGGCATATACATGGTGTTCCCAGTCACCAAACACTAACGCCTAAGGTGATTCAGGGATGCAGACTCCTCCTGTCTGTGGCTGCACCAGATCCCAGGGTCTTGCTGGGGTCTACATCCTACAGATGGAGGGGTAAAGACAAGCTGAAGGAAGCACTGCAGCCTCTTAAAAGGCTTGGGCCTACAGGTAACACACATCACCACCACCCATGCACATTTCTTTGGCAAGAATTAGTCACATGGTCTCATTTGGGCACTACTTCATAGCAACAACTCCATATAGTGCCACCAGCAACACAAGATTTTGATGGACCATTAACTAGCTCTACCATAGCATATCCTCTCTTATTGCTTTTATAAGATAAATTTGGCAAAAGTTTTCTGAAAAGTTTTCACATTACCAAGATGAATCCTACTTGGTTTTTGGTGGATGGTTGTCTTTCTAAATTGTCAAGCTAGAGGGCGATATAGAGCACCTAGTGGCCTTTGCCCTGCAAATGGAGCACCTGAGCTACAAATCCAGCAATCATCTTTGAAGTGCCTTCTCTTTCACTCCTTGGAGGTGATCTGTCAGTGCTGCTCCCTATTTATTTTACATCCTAAATACCACTTAAATCAGGACTGCCCTGGCAACTGCCTTTCTTCAGATCCTCATAAATTCTCTCCTGGGCCACTTGTAAAATAGCCTGCTGGCGGCTCTCCACCTTCAGTGTCGTCCTCCCTCCTGAAACCATTTCTCCACCAACATTTGAACTTTTAAAACTTTGCACCTCTATGAGTGAAAAAAAATGAATACCTTCATGCATGCACTCTGATATATTTATAAGCTGTGTATGATTACTCTCTCACTATTTTATATGTCTATCATAAAATGTTCATAAAATTAAAGCATTTTAAATGGAGAGATTAAAACATAAATAGACATAGATGTTCTAAAATGAGCTTCCTCATCCAGTGCATTATTTGATTCCTGCCTCACACTCTGGGGACTGTGGTGTGAGGGATGCTACAAGTACTAGAGCACTCTCGCTGGAACTCCAGTCTATCCCATCACAGGGAGAGCTGGGAAGTGGCCTTCTGTCGGAAGGGGTGGGAGAGGATGGGAGAAACTGCACCCACTTCAGTTTGGAGTGGAAAACCTGGAGTTTACAGGGACTTCGGAGATGTAATGGGGGAGGGTGGTGAAGTGACAGCCGCTGCAGGAATCTCCGGAAAGTGCTGTGAGGGAAACCCCTGGGACGCTCCATGACCTTCTGAGTATAATGGTTTTTGCTTCATTTCAGCCTCCTCAATATCACCAAGCTCTTCTTGTGGAAAAAATGCTAATGCATAAGGAAGGCAGTTTTGGAAAATTCATTTCCCAGACTCAGAAGGTACTGGAGGTTGGGGCATCAGCAGACAATAACCAGTCACAGACAACATACCTGGAAGGAAGCACAGCCACTTCAGGCTGACTACTAATAGTCTACTCAGGATTCAGAGCCATTTTCCCAAAAGGCACCCGATTTCATCTTACTTCTAATCTTTGCATAGCTTCCTTTAGCCTCCACTGGCTGCTGATCCCTACAGCCTTGAACGCTTTGGTTCATATACTAAGTAGAAGCATAAACAAGTGAAACACATTCTTACATTAAGCTTTGATTGAACAGTGGGAGTGCTGAAAGCCTCTCCTGTTACATAGTCCTGCATGGTCCCGTCTTAGCAGGGAGCCTTCCAGAGCTCCACGGAACCTGTTTAGTCAATGTTTAGGACGTCCAAAGTAATTAATGCAGCATTCGAGGCCCCTCAGCACCTACCTCCTGCTCACCTTTTCAGTTTCATCTCCTAACAGCCTTCAGGCCACCCTGCGTGCTGGTGTTCCCGATTTAATTACTCTTACCTCAAAGATTTTCCGTGGCACATCTGCTCTTCTTGCTTGGAATGTTCCTACCTCATCCAGGTGATTTTTCACAAATCATCACTTCCTCCAGATAATTTTTCCTAGTCCTAACAACTCCCCTTCTATGAGGACAGCACTTGATCCAAAACAGGGTTCCACAAGCATTGATTCCATGAACTGAGGAGGCAGGAAAATATGCAGTATCTGTTATCCCCACTCCTTGTTTCTCAATTCTACAGGCACTTAGAAAAAAATCTATGCAGTATATAGTTTCACTTTGGGTATTCTTTTAATAATGCTTTGTTTTGTGTTTCTGTGTATATATAATTCTGCCAAACTGAGTGTTTCTGAAATTTCCCAATGAAAGTAAGATATTTTGTTTTGTTAAAAAAAAAATGGAAATGATTCAAAATGGCAAAACAAGTATTCCTGGAATCTGGTGTTCACAAATTCAATCTGCAGCACTCAGAACTCTCTACTAACTGTCCTGTTCTCTCCCTTCAACTTTGTCATCCACAGTTCCCCTACATGAAGGCTGGGCAGTCTTACTGTATTCACCAATGTTAGGTTTCATCCGCAAGCCTCTTCTTATACTATTTTATCTCTTGGATTATCCTGTTCTCCCTTTCTGCATTTCTTGCCTATGTTCTTTCCAACAAGAAAGACCTAGTTCATAAACTATTACCATTAAACAGTCCATATTGATCTCTTCTGCCCTGAACTTCATTACCAACATTTGACTGCTTCATTTAATTTAGCAATCAATCCACTTTTTCTTGCCTTAGTACATAGATCTTTAAAGCATCTTTGGCTTCTCTACTCTCCAAAAGTCATGAGTCCTGAATTATCAAAGATATAACACTTTATATTTATTCACATCACCTTAATGAGCCCAATGGGATGTATATAACAGGTGCTGACAAATACCTATTTTAAGGCTGCATGTCTCTGAGCATGTTCAAGACCTAGGAAATTTTTCAGGTTTGTTTTGATTGATGGAGTCAGTCATTCATCAACAAAAAATAAGTTGTGAAATCTATTTGCATGAATAAATGAACATTACTTGAAATAATGGACAACATACATGAAAACAAGATTTGAGTGACAAACATAAAAATAGAATTATACTGAGTCAGTACATATTCACAGACATCTTTTGAGTAATGTATTGCAAGAACACTGGATTGAAAGAACACATAGGTTTCAGTCCTGGATACTTCCCAGGTCTTGGGCGGGGGGGAGGAATTGTGTTATCTCACTGATCTTGAGTCTGTACATTTCTAAAAGAATGTTGAACTTAGTCATTTTTGTCATTTATTTCAGCCAAAAAGGGAAAAAATAATCTACACTTGGGGGAAGGCAAGGGCATAAGAAAAATACAGGAACTGTAAGAGAGACTAATAGAAGTCTTTCCTTCTTCTGTAGTAGACAGAATAATAGCCCCACCAAAGCACCCATACCTCAGCCCAGAAACTGTGAACATCTTATGTTACATGAGAAGAGGTATTTATGATTGCAAAAGGAATTAGGGGCTGGGTGCAGTGGTGCACACCTGCAATCCCAGCAGATAGGGGGGCTGAATGTTATGAATTAGATGTGGTGTCCCCCCAAAGCAATGTAAGAAATTTCAGAGGAGAAATGATTGGGTTATAGCCTTAAAGGAATCAGTGGATTGATCCCTGATGGGATTAACTGAGTGGCAACTGGAAGTGAGTGGGGTATGGCTGGAGAAGGGGTTCAGTGGAGATGTGGCTATGGGGTATATATTTTGTATTTGGAGATTGGAGTGTCTCTCTCTCTCTCTCTCTTTCCTGATCATCTTCCTGATCATCATGTGAGCTGCTTCTCTCTGCCACACTCTTCTGCCATGATGTTCAGCCTCACCTTGAGCCCAGAAGTGTGGAGTCAGCCTTCTATGGACTAAGCCTCTGAAACCCTGAACCCTCAGATATACTTTTCCTCCTTCACAATTGTTCTGGTCGGGTCTTTTAGTTGCAGCAGCGAAAAAGCTGACTAAAACACTGAGGCAGGAGGATTGAGATTCCAAAGCCAGCCTCAGCAATTCAGTGAAACCCTGTCTCTAAATAAAAAATAATATAAAAAAGTGCTGGGGTTGTGGCTCAGTGCTTAAGCACCCCTGGGTTCAATCCCTGGTACCAAAAAAAAAAAAAAAAAACAGAATTAGGGTTGACAACCAACTGGCTTAAACAGAGGAGATCATCCAGGTGGGCCCATTAAGGCCTTAGGGGCCTTATATATGGAAAGGGACAAGAATAGTTATGCCAGATGATGCAGGGCCAAAAGGACTCACCCTCCTATTTTTGGCCCTGAACCTGGAAAGGACCCTGCACTGGGAATGCAGTCAGTCTTCAGAAAATGGAAAAGACAGAGAAGGGGTGGATTCCAAAGTCCCCATAAGGAATAGACTGTCCAACTCCTCAGGATCAGTCCATGTTGGATTTCTGACCTCTAACCTGAGAGATAATAAATTGGGTTGTTTCAAGCCACCAGGTGTGCCATAATTTGTTACATCAGCAATAGGAAATGAACATACCTCCCACTAAACAAAAAAAGATGAAAGAAACTAAAAACTTTTTCTAGTAAAGTAACGTGAAGAAAATAAACCAGCATGACATGTATGAACTAGCAGCAATCACTTTAGGGACTGTGAAATCTTCATTTATTAAAAAGAAACTAGAATAATTCAGCCATTTGTACACTTTATGAAGCAGCCACTTTCATCTTCCTGGTCTCAGAAGATGTATCTGTTTGAGCATAATAAATAGCATCAAATAGCATCAGCAACATGGTTTTTTTTTTAATTGTCTGGAAGTTTTAAAAATTATTCCCACAAATAAGCCAGCCTGGCTATAGAGACAAGTGACGTCAGGGACTTAGAAGATACTTAAAGTGAACGTTTATGATGATTTAGTCTATTCCCTTCATCTTAGGGGAAAGTGATTGAACTCCAGAGGTGAAGAGACTTGTCCGAAGTTACTCGGGTTTTAGGAGCAGAATAAGAAGTAAAATACAATTCCCTCTTGGTACTCCAGGTCAAGGTCACTACCAGATGGTGAAAAGGGGGAGAATCAGAGGAGATGAGAACCTAAAGAGGAAAGGGACCATATACTCATAGGAGTCTGAATTTAATCTAAGTGCAATAGGAAGCCAGAAACACACTGTACAATATTAAGTGCATAAATTTAATATAAATGCAATAATATGAAGATACTAATTTAATCTTGTAGAGGTAAAGAATGAAAGTAAAGAGACCAGTTGCAAGAATATTATAGTAGTGGAAGTGAGAGGTGATGGCAGCTTGGACCAGGGTGGTAGACAAGGTGATAACGGAAGGTGAACAGGTTCCGCTCTACCCTGGACTTCACCAGCAGTAGAACTTATTGATAGACTGGAAGTGTGGGTCAGGAGAGTAGAGGAATTAAATAGTATCCCCAGATTGTGACTTTATGGTGCCACATACTGACATAGGCAAAAGCAAGAAGGCAAAAACAGGAGTTCAGCTGTATCTTATAAGTTCAAAACATCATTAATACACTGTTTCCTGATTCAGTGGTATTGGATAAGAGGAGCTGGAAGGCAACCGTGAGGGAAGGCAGGATAAGATTTGCCATGAGACAGCTGCTAATTGAGTGCTACACAGTCATTAGTGAGACTGTTTCTGACTGGATTAGGAGAAGAAAGGCACATAGAGCAAATCTTATTTAAAATGGGTCATTTAAAAGAGATAAAGAGAGATGGCATTCCAGGTAGAGGAAACTGTTCTTAAAAGCAAGGTGGAGGGGAAGTTGAGGGCATTCCCAAAAAACTGATGTAGCTTGTTTTTGATCAATTCATCCATTCCATTCATTCAACATGTATTTATTGAACACTTAGTATACACCAGGAACTAATGAGCATTCAAAAATGCTGGAGACACAGCCCTGTCCCCCAGGAGCTTTACTGACTGACAGTGATATTGAATGAGTTCAATGAACATATGGGAAAGAGGTGAAAAAGAAAATATGCATTCCTATATTGGTCATTAATGCACCAGATATTTGCTGAACACCTACCATGTGCATCATTCTAGAACTTGCACATTGTTCCAAGACTTATGCTCTAATACAGTGGATGTGCTTATGGAAGTACTAGCAAAAGATTTGTAAAGCTCATCTGATTTTACCTGGGGATGTGATTGTGATTATTCAAAAAGGTTTTGTAAATAGGTCAACCATTATATTAGAATAGTTGGAGTTAACCAAAATTTTAGAAATAACCATACTATGGATAGTCACTAAGGCCGGTCCAGGGAGTTTGGCTTAATTCAGTAGGCACTGGGAAGTCAATGAGAGATATTTAACCATTTGAATGAAAAAACTAAAGCCATGATTTGACTCTTTTTAATTTGATGTAGGCAGAGTTAAAAGAAACAGAAACAGAAAGAAGAAAGAGAAGTTTTGGAGACTTTCAGTTTCCCAGAGGAAAGTAGTGGTGGCGACAGTAGAGGTGGAGACAAGAGGCAGACTCAAGAGCCATTGCAGAGAATAAATGAAGTGGGGTAGTGAATTAGCCATCCCTTCTTTGTTTCTACATCCAGGCTGACCACAGTTTCAATAGTGAGAGACTTTATCAGTGAACATGTAGAAATTGAAACCCTCATAGAAGTAGGAGTATAAAATGGAGTATCCATTACCATCATTTGTGAAACAGATAGAAAGTTTGTTTGGCAGTATTTTAGTCAGCTTTGCATCAACATGATCAAAATACCTAACAAGAACATTTGAGAAGAGGAAAATTTATTTGGGGCTCATGCTTCAGAGGTTCAGTCTGTGATTGGCTAACTCCATAGCTCTAGGCCCAAGGAGATGCAGGACATCATGGCAGAAGGGTGTGGCAGAGAAACACAGCTCAAGATGTGTCATCCAGGAAGTAGAGAGAGAGAGAGAGAGCTTCACTCACTGAGAACAAAATATAAACCCAAAGACACACCCCCAGTGACCTACTTCCTACAGCCATAACCTACCAGCCTGCAGTTACTTTCCAGTTAATCCACATCAGTTAATGAATCCACTGAGCAGGTTATACCTCTCATAATCTACTCATTTCACCTCTGAAAATTCTTGCATTGTTTCCCATGTGGCTTTTGGGGGACTCCTCATATCTAAATTATAACAGGCAGTTTCTCAAAATCTTAAAGACAGAGTTATCATAAGACCCAGAAATTCCACCCTTAGGGAATTTTCAATTTCTTGAGAATTTTCAATTCTCAAGAGAGAATTGAAAATGCATGCCCTCACAAAAACCAGCATACAAATACTTATAGCAGCACCATTCCCAAATACCTCAAAGAGGAAACAGTGCAACTGTCCATCAACTGATTATTGGATATTTAAAAATGTACTGTACCCATGCAACCAGTTCTAAAAATGAATGAAGCACTAATTCATGCTACAGGGATGAAATTCTTGCCAAGTGCAAGAAGTCAGACACCAAAAGTAGCGTATTATATAACTCTATTTGGTGTCTATAATAGGCAAATCCAAAGAGACAGAAAGTAGATTAATGACTTCCAGAGGATTGGGGGAGACAAGACAGTGAATAACTGCTAATGGGCCCATGGTTTCCTTTGAGGGTGATGAAAATGTAAAATTAGATAGTGGTGCTAGTTACACAACTCTGAATATACCAAAACCCTCTGAATTATATACTAGAAAAGAGTACATTTTATGTTGTATAAATTATATCTCAATGAAGATATTATTTTTAAAAAGCAAATGACATTCAGACTATATGGAGTATTACGAGGACTTAGTAACAACAAGGAGGAACAGATTTAGGAGGAAGGTGAGTTTGAGGCATACTAAAAGGAAGACATTTATGAAACATTTAGGTAGAAATATCTGGAAACGTTCGCCTGAAGCTTTAAGAGAGGAAGACTTGAGTATTGTCTATGAGAAAGGACTAGAACCATGGGTGTGGAGAAAACTCAGTGAGAAAGTGAAAAGAGAAGAGGGCAAGTTCAAGATGAAACCTGGAGAAATGTTAAAAGAAAACATCAAAGGAAAGAACAGAATACCAGAAAGAAAAGCTATTTGAAGAAAACCCTGGAAAGTATAAAGAACTGAAATCTAAAGCTAGCATGGCAGTGCCCAGAGGTAGGTCAGGAAGAGATGAACCAGGGTGAGTCCCCACAGATGAGTTCACCATAAACACTGAAGGAAGGGTTGAGGATGTTTGGTTTATACAGAAGAACAATGGGAAGCCATTAAACAGGGAGAGTCATAATTAGATTTGCATTTT